TTTTATGCAAGTTGCTTTCCTGAAGATAAATTTGAAACAAAATCTGAACTCGTCATTTCTGACAGTAACGACATATTTTCACTGTGTAATGTCACACAATATTCCAGTAAGCCATTTATTATAGATATTTATCTATTTTAAAAGGATTCAAAAGAAAACTTTTGTACAGATTGTAGCATTTCAACAAGTCTGCCAACAAGCAGTGAGTTCAAGAAGCTGCGGTAAGATCTGCTTCTAAAGGAGTCAGAAAAATTCACAAAACCAACCTGGCCAAGTCTTGAGAAAAATCTATAGACCACTGAAGGTTTTCCATGCACAGACTCCCCAATGCTGTCCCCTTCTGACATGGTGGCTGTGGAAACAAAACACGGGACAAGGGAACATTAACATCCAAAATCTAACTTCAGGGAGGTTTACAGCACATTCTCTGAACCTGTATTTACATACAAAACTCTCCTGGCTTGTCCTGTTTGAAACAACTTATTCTAAATGAAGTATTCTTAAAGAGAGGACCAAAACAAATGAAAATTCCTTATCCAAAAAAGCAAAAAATAGGGTATTTTACAAAGGCAAGACAGGATCCAGTGTGTTTGGGGGAAGGAAATAAAGAAGCCCATAAAGAAATTCAGGAAGAGCCCAGTTGGACATTGTTAACTGTGCCAAGGCACAACCCCCTAAGCAGTGAGACATGAACTGCAGCACCTCCCTCCTGCCACCTCAGGCTCCAAAGGCAAAGAACAAAACCAGAGTAAGTAGATTTTTTTTAAAAAAAAAGCTCCTTCAGATTTTAAATACTGAATAACTACATACTGAAGAAGTAAATTCAGGACTCTGCACACCAGTGGTTTCAGACTCTGCTAGAGCACCAAACCCAAAATGCTGCCCACACTGGAATCATTCAATGAGTTTCTCTGTCTCTTGAACACCAAGAGCTGAGCAGTAACAGAAGTTTTATACAAGAGTAAAACTGTACAGTCAGTGGGCAAAGAGCCTGAATTCAAATGAAAAAAAACTACACAAGGGGATTATTTTTCAGTCTATGCCTCTGCTACCAATTGAAGAGCTTTATTTTTCATATCAGTGAGTTTTACAGCTCATTTCAAGATAGAAGCCAAATAAAGTGGATCCTAAACAGAAACGTTTTGCCACATCACGAAGAGCAATCACTGGCATTACTTCCTGGAATGCTCATCTGTGGGTGGGACTATGTAACCCAGGATTCTGGGAGTACATTCAGCCCTACCCAAGAGCCTCAGAGAGTAACAAGTCTGTATGAAACATTCATAAATTAAAGAAAAAAAAAAAGTAAATTGTCTTAGATGCTGCAATACAGTGACTGCTGCAGAAAATTTAAGATCAAGGACAATCTGAGGAGGCACAAAAACTTAAAGCTGTTTATTTTTTCTGTAAACATCTGAAAATTACATCCTATGGAATAATTAGAAAGTAGAAAAAAAGAAGCCCTGTTACACTTCAAAAGCTAAGGGGACTCATTAGGAGGCTTCAAGAGCCGAGTCCACTTTAATTCAAGCTATAGCTAAAAGAAAAGAAGCTAGTAGAAAGTCATACAATATACACACTTTTCCATAACAGGCAAAAAGAAGTAATTATTCTTCTCCCCACCCTCTGAACAATTTCTACAGGGCAGAAATTGTTCAGTGGTCTCAGCTGAACATGATTTATTTTGGGGTATTTTTTAATGTGCTGAAGTATAAAGCTGTAACAAAAAGTTACTGAACTAATTAGAATCACAGAATAATTTATCAGAGACCAATGAAAACTCTAATAGTCTCAAAATTGATTCTTCAGATACACTCACAGAAAATATGGACTAAAAGTAGACCATACAAGACTATCTTGTAAATGTTACCCTGTGCATAACAAGTGGAAAATCGTGTGAGGCGTCTGAAGGCTTTATGCTGGAGAAGGGATCTTGCTTCATGTAAAATATTACATTATATGTGATCATGCATGATTTTCTATCAGGCATACAGTTCTTCCAGAGCAGACCGAGAAATACAACAGTTCTACTGAGAAACCTCTCTATGGCTTAGTTTCACCACAAGACACAGACTAGAATTTAAGGTAATATTTCTTGTCACATTAAAACTGTGCTGGAAGGACACCTGCAATGAACAATTATCAATAGCAGGAGCGCTTGGCACTACTCTGAGGGCAGTTTACAGTTAAGAACACTGGATTCTGTTGGTTTAAGGGAACGATTAAACCTAGACAGCTTCAATTTCTCCTTCATAATCATGGAACCATAGAATGATTTGGGTCCTTTAAGATCATCACATTCCAGCCCCTGCCATGGGCAGGGACACCCTCCACTGCCCCAGGTTGCTCCAAGCCCTGTCCAACCTGGCCTTGGACACTTCCAAGGATTCACAGCAGCCACAGCTTTTCTGGGCACCCTGTGCCAGGGCCTCACCACCCTCACACAGTTTCTTCCTAACATCCCATCTAGCACTGCCCTCTGGAAGTTTTAAGCCACTCTCCGTTGTTCTGTCAGTCCAGGCCCTTGTGAAAAGCCTCTCTCCATCTGTCTTGTAAATGTAACATCAGATTCGCTGCCCACCCTCCAGCCACTCCAGGACAGCTAACACTCAGCCAGAGACACAGAGAGATTAACGAGGGAATAGTTTGCTACTAGTAAAACTGAGACTGCTACTAAGGCAAGACCATATTAGAGCAGTTTTCTCTGCTGAAAACACCACATAAGCAAAGGTACAGCCTGAACAATTATGCTTTTCCCTACAATCGTGATGGCAATTTCATTACAAACACCACTGAGCGCTGAATTCTGAAAAGCAGAACCTCTGGCTGTAAGAATATTTACTTTAAGCCTCACATCATCACACAGAGGTACAGAATTTCAGCACAACTCTGCTCATGTTATAGATTTTTCTTAAATTTAAAATATAAGTTAAGCAGATAACTAGCAAAAACACGTTACACATTCAAGTTACCTTGTAGAGGAAACGTCTTTGAAGAACAACACACTAAGTTAATTTATTAAAGAACTGGGTGAACGGACAACCACGGGGAAACAGCCCATTGGTCCCTCAGATTGGTTCTTCACACTAAAAAAAGGCATTGTTTAATTTTATCCATTGCAACAGCAGCTGAGAAGCACCTGCACTTCTCGCCTGTGCCGGCAAGAGGGGATTTCCCCTTGCCCAGACACTGCTCAGCCCCGGCGCGGCGGGACACTCGGTACAATGAACAGGGAGGAGCTGCGCTGCCTCGGCACGGGGCAGGGCGGGGACCGCGGAGGGGGACACGAGACCCGGGAGGCCCCAGCCGGAGCGCCGAGCCCGCAGTAGCCCCCGCGCTCCCGAAGGGAC